TCCAGGCCAGCCTGGTCTACATAGTTCCAGGACATCTGGGGCTACTTTTTTAAAAAAAAAAAAAAAAAAAAAAAAAAAAAAAAAAAAAAAAAAAAAGGTATCCTATAAATATTTGATCAAGTTCATCAATCATGATATTCAGAATGATGTCAAGACTGAAATACAAAATTTACTGGATTAGAAATCTGAAGTAGGGGGCTAGAGAGATGACTCAAGGCTTAAAAGCACTGGATGCTCTTCCTAGTTCTGTTCCCAGCACCCACATAGCAGTTAACAACCATCTGTAACTCCAGTTCCAGGGGATCTGACACCCTCTTCTTTCTTGGGCATTGCATGACACAGGTGCACTTATATGTATGCAGGTGATACACTCATACACAAATTTGAGGCATTTATAAAACTGTCATAATCCTTGATGATAAGAATAGGTTCTTTCTTGCCTAAAAAGAAAACAAATCAAGCTGGGCGTGGTGGCACACGCCTTTCATCCCAGCACTCGGGAGGCAGAGGCAGGTGGATCTCTGTGAGTTCAAGGCCAGCCTGGTCTACAGAGAGACCCTGTCTCAAAAAGACCAAAAAAAAAAAAAAAAAAAAAAAAAAAAAAGAAAGAAAAGGAAACAAATCAAGTAAACCCACTTTCCTTTCATAATTCACATTAAACATATCACTATCTCCAATCTTCTTTCTCTGTTTCATTTTCCCACCTTTGACCTCAGTCATATAAACCTATGGATCTTTTATCCTCTTCCTTGGATAAAAATTCTCCAGTGGAAGCCGAGCATGGTGGTGCACACCTTTAACTAGGCACCTGTCAATAGACATTCTAATTGCTTTGATCTCTTTGGCTATCACTATGAGCTTGGCTGTGCAAAATGTCTCAAAATCCTGCTTTCAGTTCGTTTGGATTTATATACAGAAAAGGGATTATGTGGTAGTTTTTTTTTTGAGATGGGGTCTCCCTGTAGCCCCAGCTGGCCTGGAACTCAGTATGTAGACCAGGCTGGCCTTGAACTCTCAGAGATCTGCCTGCCTCTGCCTCCCGAGTGCTGGGACTAACCCAGCTATGGTAGTTTTGTTTTTAATATTTTGAGGCACTAGTGAGATATGGTCATAAATGCTTGTAATTTCAGCACTCAGGAGACTGAAGCAGGAGGATTGCAACCTGGACTACATAGTGAGAACCTGTCTCAAAAAATAATAACAAAAAGTTTAAAGCACAACCAAACTTTTCCATACCATCTGCACCATTTTTTGGGGGGTTGTCTTTTGAGACAGGGTCTCCCTGTAACCCCAGTTGTCCTGGAACTCACTATGTAGACCAGGCTGGCCTTGAACTCACAGAGATCCGCCTGCCTCTGACTCCCGAGTGCTGGGATTAAAGGCATGCGCCACCACACCTGGCCACCATCTGCATCATTTTATAATCCTAATTGATAGCGCTCAAAGTTTATAGTTTTCTACACCTTGTCTAAGTGTACACCCACAGAGGCCAGAAGACAACTTGTGCTCACAATGAGGGGTGGGGCATGCATGCCACAACACATACATGGAGGTCAGAGGAAGATTTTGTGAAATTGGTTTTCTCCTACCTTTACATGAGTTCTGGGGATTGAACTCAGGTTGTCAGGCTTATGAAGCGAGCACCTTAACTACTTGAACCATCTTCTTGCCCCTATTTTATTTTTTTTTGAATGGGTCATTATGGCTTTGATTTGCCTTTCTCCAGTAACTAATGTTGCAGAGTTTTCCATATGCTTGTTTGCCATTTGTTTTGTTTCTTTCCTCCCCTCCTCCTCCTCTCCTTTTGTCTTTTTGAGATAGGGTCTCCCTGCAGCCCCACCTGGCCTGGAACTCACTATGTAGACCTGGCTGGCCTGGATCTCACAGGGATCCATCTGCCTCTGCCTCCTAAGTGCTGAAATTAAAGGCATGGGCCACCATGCCCAGCACTTGTTTTGTTTTTTATGGTTAAACAATATTCCACTGAATGGATACACTATATTTTATTTATCCATTAGAAGTTGACAGATTCCTTTATAGTTACTTGTTATAATGACTAATGTGAACATTCACAGAAGAGTTTTGAGAGTAATAAGGTATGTGATGCACCTCTGTTATCCCAGAGGCAGAAAGATTGAGCATTGTAGGCAGCCTGGACTACATATGGACCTTGTCAAAACAAAAACAAAAACAAAAAAACGACAGCTGGGCATGGTGGTGCAGCACTTGGAGGCAGAGGCAGGCAGATCTCTGAGGGTTCAAGGCCAGCCTGGTATACGTAGTAAGCTCCAGGCCAGCTGATTCCAGGCCACGTGAAAAAAAAAAAAACCCCTGTCAAAAAAAAACAAAAAAAAAAAAAAAAAACAAAAAAAAACCCCTAAAAAACAAACAAAACCCTCCAAAAACCAACAATAACAACAACAACAACAAAAAAACCCCAACAACAAAAAGAAAGGGGGTGAGGAGTTGGGTCTGTGGGTAAAGTTTGCCATGCAAGCATGAGGATCTGAGTTTGATCCCCAGAACCCATGAAAAAACAGCTGGGCACATTGGCATGTGCTTTTAATTCCAATGCAGGAGAGGTAGAGACAGGAGGATCACTGGGGCTTGCTCATCAGCTAGTCTAATCAAATTGGTGAGCTCCCGGTTTAGTGAGAGACCCTGTCTCAAAAAATAAGGTGGGCAGCCGGGCATGGTGGCACACGCTTTTAATCCCAGCACTCGGGAGGCAGAGGCAGGAGGATCTCTGTGAGTTCAAGGCCAGCCTGGTCTACATAGTGAGTTCCAGGACAGGTGGGGCTACAGGGAGACCCTGTCTCAAAAAGACAAAAAAAAAAAAAAAAAAAAAGAGGAAGACAGCTGACCTCTGGCCTCCATACACACATACACATATATACATATGGAAAAATTGCCGGGGGGACTTCTTTTTGTTGTTGTTGAGACAGGGTCTCCCTATAACCCCAGCTAGTCTGGAACTCACTATGTAAACCAAGATGGCCTAGATCTCTGCCTTCTGAGTACTGGGATTAAAGGTGTGCTCCACCATGCCCAGATGTATCATTTGCAAAATGTTTTCATCTTTATGGTGTTTCTACTCTCTATTTTTTTGTCATTTGACATTTTGGAGCTAGGACTGACAAGGCAGCTTATGTCTATAATCTCAGCACTTGAGAGACAGAGGCAGCAGGATCACTGTGGATTCATGATTACATATTAAGTTTCAGGTCAGCCTGGGCTGTCTCCAAAAAAACCCAAAACATGGCTAGTGAGATGCCTCAGAGGGTAAAGGCACTTGCCACCAAGCCTAGTGACATGAGTTCTGTCCCTGGGACCCACAAGGTAGAAGGAAAGAGCCAACTCCAGCACGTTGTCCTTGGACCTCTGCGTGTTTGTTCCCATGAATATACACAGAGAATAAGTGCTTGTCAAAAATTAGACAAAAAAAAAAAAAGACTTCTTTCCCTCTTTGAATTGTCTTAGCACCCTTGTCAAGTGTCTTATGTGAGGGTTTATTTTAGTCTGAACTCTCAATTCTTCCAATTGAACTTGTGATTCTTGTTTTTTATTAGTTGGTTTTATTTGGATTTTTAGATTTTAATTATTTTTATTTTATGCGTGTGAATGTAATGGGTGCATGTAGGTAGATGCACCCGTGTCATGCAATGACCACGGACGTCAGAAGAAGGCATCAGATCCCCTGGAACTAGAGTTATGGACCGTTGTCAGCTGCCATGTGGGTGCTGGGAATTGAACCCCTGTCCTCTACAAGAGCAATCAGTGCTCTTAACCTCTGAACCATCTCTCCAGCCCCTGGTTTTAAAAAATAATAATAATAATTTAAGGGGAAAAAAAGATTTACTTTGGCTCATGGTTTCAGTGGGATTTTTGTAGGTCAGGAGTGTGTGACATGGCCCCTCACAACAGTTGAACCAGGAAGCAGAAAGTTCAGGCCAGGACAAGAAGTGCATATAACTTTCAAACCTGCCCCCAGTGACTATCCTACTTCAGCTAGTTAGACCACACAACCAAAAACAGGACCACCAGCTGCAGTCAAGTGTTCAAACATACAAACCTGTGGAGAGATAGGCTCATAGCATTTCATAATGAAAAAGTGCTTAGTCCAACTTTAAGAAGCCTCCAAGCATTAACAGTCTCAACATTGTTCCGAAGTCCAAGTACAGTAGCACCTGCCTGGAGTGGGTAAGGGTTTCTTGAGTCTTTTTTTTTTTTGTCCTTTTTGAAACAGGATATTACTATGTTGCTCAGGCTGGTCTTAAACTCCTAGACTCTGATGTTCCTTCTACCTCAGCCTCCAGAATACTGCAACTAAGAAGCAGGTCACCACACTTGGCTATTCTTATTGAGGCTGTCCTCCAACTTTGTTCTAATTTTTTAGGATTGTTTTGGTTACACTGGGTCATTTTAAAAAAAAATATTTTATTTATTATTTTTATTTTATGTGTATGAGTGTTTTGCCTGCATGTATGTATGTGCACCACGCGTATTCCTGGTGCCCACTGAGGTCAGAAGAGGGCTTTGGGTCCCCTGAAACTGGAAATTACAGACAGTATGAGCTATTATGTGGCTGGTGAGCTTGGTCCTCTGCAACAGCAGACATTCTCTTAATCGCTGAGCCAGCTCTCCAGGGTTCTTTGTCCCACTTTGTTTTTTAGATAAAGTTTTGCCACGAAGCCAGCCTTAACTTGGATGAATGCAATTTGACACGGAAGAAAAAAGTCATTAATACTGGAATTGAAATCATTAGTATTCCTACAGCAACACCACGCGGTATGTGGAGTTCAGTGAATAAGCTGATGCAGGTAAAATACTGAAACAGAATTTTAGTGGTTTTGAAAAGTGGGTGACAAGCGCGTCAAGCCCCTACAAGGAAAACTGGGTGGGATTCCTTCGAGGTGTGGCCCACAAGCCCCGCCCCCTCATCTGCGCCGCTCCGCTTCACCTAGGCGCTCCGGAGGTAAACCACATTTCCCAGCGCCCCCTGCAGACCTCCCGCGCCTGCGCACTGGAGCCAAAGGGGCTCGTGCGGAACTCCCGCGCTAGCCGCTCGCCTCGCCTCGAACCCTCCTCGCAGAGTTTCTGTCGCCCGCCATGGAGGAGGCTGAGGCGGATGCTGGGGAAAACTCGCACGCCAAGGCCGAGAAGGCTGTGGCCGTGGCCACGCCGCCGCCGCCGCTGCCTCCCGTCTCCCCACCCGCCCTCACCCCGCCGCCGGCAGCCCGTGAGGAGGGCCCGGCGTCCCTGCCTGAGGCTGGCGCCCCTGGCTGCTCCGGCCCTCGGGCCCCGGAGCTGGAACCCATGCACAGCCTGGGCCGCTTGAGAGGCCGCTTCGAGGACTACGATGAAGAGTTGGAAGAGGATGAGGAGCTGGAGGAAGAGGAGGAAGAGGAGGAGGAGGAGATGAGCAACTTCTCGCTGAGGCTGGAGTCAGGGCGGCCGGAATCCGAGGACGAGGAGGAGGTATTGATGAGCCGGGCCGCCGGATGTAGGGCAAGACATGCCTCGCCGCTGCTGCGGTCACTTGGTGTAGACCTCCATCCCCGCCCGCCCAGGCGTGGTCGAGTCATTTGTCCGGACCCTGCAGATCACTTTGGACGCACTGCCCAACCCCTCCAGCTCCCTCCCCTTCATTCTGTGAAGAATTGCTAAGGTTCTGCATGCCTTGGAAGGCTTGGACGACTAGGGTGCCATGAATCTGTCCTCCACGAGTTGGACGGGGATATAGTTACTTTCTGCGGGGTGTAGAGAGAGTGGTAAATTCTTAACCAATTCACTCTCTAATCATGGAAAATTTTGTTTGTTTGTTTGTTGTTTTTAAATAACGTGGTAGCAGATACGGAAAAGTTTGTCCATTTTTGTAAGTAATGTATAAAGGTACCACGGAGCTGGGGATACGGCTCAATTGGTAGAATGCTTCCCTGGCGTGTACGAGGCCCTGGGTTCCATCCTCAGCGCTGCATAAACAGGCATGATGGTGGACTTAAGTAATCCCAGCACTCATAGATAGCACTGGGGAAGGTGGAGGCAAGAGGATCGGAAAGAAGTTCCAGTCTTCCTCGGTTACCTAGGGAGTTCCAGTCTAGACTGAGCTAGGAACTCTGTCTACAGCAACAAAAAGCCGGTGTCCCTCACAATATATGCCAGAGAATTGGGATCCTTTTGACACAATGCTTTATATTAGGTTTTTGTAAATTTCAGCAGTGTTTGAAGGGTTGGAGGTATAACTAAATCATCACATTGCTTATAATGAAATCTTGAGCTTAGGACTTAAATTGGTTTGTTTGAAATGAGGCCTTGCTGTGTTGACCTAGGGTAGTTTTGAACTCCTGGGTCCAAAAGATCCTTCTGTTTCAAATGAGCAAGTGGAAGTAAAAGCACAGACTGCCTCACCCAGGTGGGTTATATATTTAAGGTGAATGCTTGTATTCTAAAACTATTACCATTGCATTTACAGCGCCTGATTAATCTTGCTGAGCTGACCCCATACATCTTGTGTTCCATTTGCAAAGGTTACTTAATAGATGCAACTACCATTACAGAGTGTCTTCATACCTGTAAGCATAGTTTACCTTTCTGAATATTAAAAAATTTTGAAATGTCGTTAAAGCATCCTAATTTAAACCTTTTCTTTTCCAACAGTTTGTAAAAGCTGCATTGTAAGACATTTTTACTATAGCAACAGATGTCCAAAATGCAACATAGTAGTCCATCAGACACAACCTCTTTATAATATAAGGTAAGAAAAATATATATACATAACAATTATTTTAGGGTTTTATTTCTTGAAACCTTAACACTGTGTAGTAGGCAATAAATTCTTGACTGACCTCCATCAAAATTAGAAAAAAGGGCACAACATAAGAAATGTGTGTAGAGCTCTGATAATCTGCTGGAGATTTTCAAAGAGCAGGTGGCAGCTGGGGGAAGAAAAGGGAAAGAAGTGAAACCAAACAGGCTTTTTCTTCTTGAATATTTTAATGAGCTAATGGAAATAGTGTCAGCCTCTCATTTTCATGTTACACTATTTAGATTGTTCTTTTAGAAGTAATGCCTGAGCAAACTAGATCAAGTTTTCATTTCATACTGCTTCTTTGGAGAAGAAAAGGGATAACTAACTTTCATTCACTCAGCAAATACTATTAAATCTATATTACCTTCATAAAAGACTACTTTGTAGATGGGATAGTATACAAAAGTTAAAATATAGTCCTTGTCCTCAAAATCACATTCTTACTTAGATCACGGAATAGTGAACTGTTCAAGTATCTATTGAGTACTTATAATTATATGATTCCTTGAGGTTTACTCAGGTGAAGTATATTTTAGGCAAGGAGATATCTGCCCCTGAGAAAAAACATGGTTAGTTCACTTTGAACCCAGGTTCATTTTTCTTAATTCTGAGATATTCTTCATTCTTTCCTCTTATTAGGTTGGACCGACAGTTACAAGACATAGTGTACAAATTAGTGAGCAATCTAGAGGAAAGTAAGTTTCTTTTATTACTTAGTTGCAGATCCGAGCATCTCTTAACTACTAGTTACATTTTAAATGTAATTTAGTCTGTGTTTTACTTTTTTAGGAGAAAAAAAGCAAATGCATGATTTCTATAAAGAAAGAGGTCTGGAAGTACCTAAACCTGGTAAGTTTGGGTATGTACCATAATGTATGCATAGATTTAAAAAATAGTGATTTCATAAAATCTGTGCCCTTTGAGATTCTGTCCTAGTTTTCTTTCTGTTGCTATGATAAAATACCCTGACAAAATCTAGAAGAGAGGTTTTATTTATCTCATAGTTCCAGCCCATCATTGCTGGGAGTCAAGGCAGCAGGAACTCAAAGCAACTGGTCCTATCACATCCACACTCAAGAGCAGAGAGAAACAAAGTAATACATGCTTGCCTGCTACACAGCTCACTTTCTCCTCCTTTATACAGTCTAGGACCCAAACCCTGGAAATGGTGCTGCCCACTTTGTTTTTGATCTTTGGAGATGTGCTCCCTGTAGCCCCTGCCAACCTGGAATTCAATATGTAGCCCAGACTGGCCTAGAACTCAGAGGGATCAACCTACCTCTGCCTCCCTAGTGCTGAGATTAAAGGCCAGTGCCACCACTCCCTGGTTCACATATCAATTAATAAATTTAAGAAAATCCCTCATAGGCCTGCCCACAGGCTAACCCAATCTAGACAATCCCTCACTAAGACTATCTTCCCTTCGGTGAGGTGGTGTGCACCTAATCCCAGCATTCAGGAGGCAGAGGCAGAGGCAGGTGGATCTCTGTGAGTTCAAGGCCAACCTGGTCTATATTGCAAGTTCCAGGCCAGCTGGGGCTACAGGGAGCCCCTGTCTGAAAAAGACCAAAAAAAAAAAGGACTGTCTTCCTAGATGATTGTAGTTTGTATTGACAAGCAAAACTAACCACAGGTGTTTTTTTGGAACTAGCTAGTTATATCATCAAAGAGAAGTATCTTGGAGGTAATGTAATAAAATCCAATTTAATAGTTCACATCTTCATTTATTTATTATGTGTGTGCATGTGCAGGGATCAGAGGACAACTTTTGGGAGTCAGTTCTTTCCTTCCACCATGTGGGTCCTGGGTCAAACTCAGGTTGTCTTGTACTGGCAGAGCCATTATGCCAGCCGTAATTTCATTTGTTTTGACAGATTAGCTGATGTTATTAAGGGAAATTTGATCAAGAGCTTTATGACCTTTTAGTCCGTATAGTTGTAATACCTGTGTAACTGGTTTTTCAAAGATCTCAACTTATAACTTTTAAAAATCCTAAATCAGCTTTTTTTGGGGGGTGGGGGGGGGGTCTCTTAAATAGCTGCTCCACAGCCAGTCCCTTCAAGCAAAGGAAGAGCTAAGAAAGCCCTAGAATCAGTATTCCGTATTCCACCTGAACTTGATATGTCTTTATTACTGGAATTCATTGGGTGAGTAACATAAAAATCCACAATTTATTTATTTAGTTTTGGTGTTCTCCTTATTGAGCCCACAATTGCCTGAAACTCTGTGTAGGCTAGCTCACCTCAAATTCTAGATCCTCATGTCTGAGAGTCTTCCAAATATTGGGACTATAGGCATGTGCCACAAGACCTAGCTCAAAAAAAGTCCGAACAATTATGAAATTATTCAAACATTATTGACATCTCTTTAAGAATTAAGTATGAGGGGCTGGAGAGATGGCTCAGTAGTTAAGAGTACTGACTGTTCTTGCAGAGGACCTGGGTTCAGTTCCCAACACCTACATGGTGGCTAGCAGTTGTCTGTAACTCCAGTTCCAGTGCCCTCTTCTGACCTTCACGGGCATTACACAGACATGGTGTACTTTACACATGTAGACTAAACACTCTTACACATAAAAATAAATACAATTATACAATAGTGAAGATTTAGAAAAAGATTTTAAAAGTAACACAGTAGTTGGGGTGTGGTGGTGCACCCTTTAATCCTAGTACTCAGGGTAGAGACAGATGGATATCTGAGTTTTGGGACTATAGGGTGAGATGCTGTCTCAAAACAAACAAAAAAACTCAATCACAACTGGATTTAACTGCTTTTGTTTTACCACTAGGTGGCAGAAGTGACAATTATATTTGTTGCACAAAGATTTAGATGACCATATTTTAAATTAAAATAAGACTGGGCTTGGTAGTACAGACCTGTAGCCCAGCACTCTGGAGGTGGAGGCAGGAGGGATTAGGAGTTCAAGATCACCCTTAGCTACAAAGCGAATTCCAGGTCAGCCTGGGCTACTTGAGACCCTATCTCAAAGATAACCAAAAAAACTGGAGCTGATGAGATGATTCAAGGGGTAAAGGTGAATTGCCTGATTTTGGTCCCTGGAACATACAGGAGAAAATCTAGTCCTTTAAGTTGCCTTCTGACTGCCACAAGAGCAGCACCATGGCACAAGCAGCCCCTGTCCCACACTGAAAATAAATTAAGGAACAACATTTTTAAGTTAAAATGAATTGCTTCCTCTGAAATGTTCATATTGTTATTTTTCTCATATTGATTAAGCATATAATTTAACGTATGAAATATTGATTAACCTTTCCTTCATTTTTTTAGTGCTAATGAAGACTCCAGACATTTTAAGGTATTTCATTTTTCAATCATAAGGATTCTGTAGGTAAAAATTTTGAGTAAGATTAGCTACCAAGTAGAGATTATCTTCACTTGCAATAGGAATATTTGATAAATAAGTTATTGAAATATGTTCATTCGACAATAATGTTATATTAGTTTCTGAGGGTGAATTATTAAGTAAGAATTTGGTACTCAAAACAGTGATATAAGGAAAATAAATTTTAAAATGACACATTATATTAATCTGGTAAATTTTTTACAGTTTTTTTGTGTGTTGCCTCTGGTTGCTACAATGCTTTCCTAGAGTGCATGAAGCCGTGGGTTAGATCCCCAGCACCACAAACTGTGAGATTGCATACACCTGTGATCCCAGCACTTCTGAGGTTACATATCAAGTTTCAGAGTACTGGAATAGTTTTAGGGTTTTGTGGTTTTGAGATAGGATCTCATTCTGTAACCTAGGCTAAACTGGAACTCATCAGGTAGCCCCTGATGGCTGTGGGCTTCAATCTCCCAAGTGTTGGCACTATAAGTATGAGTCACCATGCCTAGCAACTTCGTTTTAAATAGAGGAAAATTGGTCCAGGAGGCAAGGGGTATACACAATTGAGTTTTGGTCAAAATGTGGTCTGGTCAATCATTATCTTAGTTTTGGCTCTTTAAGGTAGTTCAGAGTAACCCTTATTGTTTGAGGGGACTGTCCAGTTCCCTTGAGTTACTAGTTGAAGTGTTCTTATAGTGGGTGATCTGTCTGTGAGGCTCTGTTGTACCTAAGAATCTAAGGTGACTGCCCTTTTACTGGAGACTTTCAGGGATCTTTTGGGGATGTGGAACAGGGTATTGTAAAAGCTTACAAGGGGCTGGAGAGATGACTCAGCAGTTAGAGCACCTACTGCTCTTGCATAGGACCAGAACTTGGTCCAGTACCCCAAGTTGGGCAACTCACAAATGCCTGTAACTCCAGCTCTAGAGGATTTGATGCCCTCTTCTGGGCTCTGCAAGCACCTGTACTTGTGCACATACCCACACACAGACACATGAATACACATAATTTTTTAAAAATGAATAAATCTGAGGTTGGAGAGATGGCTCAGTGGTTAAGAACACTGGCTGCTCCTGCAGAGGATCCCAGGTCAGTTCCTAGAACCCACATGACAACTAACTGTTTATTCAGTTCTGGGGGATCCAGTGCCCTCTTCTGGCCTCCATGGGCATTGTTTTCAAAATACTCACAAAAATAAATTAAGGCCCAACACTCGGGAGGTAGAGGCAGGCGGATATCTGTGAATTCAAGGCCAGCCTGGTCTACATAGTGAGTTCCAGGACAGCTGGGGCTACAGGGAGACCCAGCTTCAAAAAGACAAAAAAAAAAAGAAGGGGAAAATTTTTTTATTTTTTTGAGATACTCTCTCATACTGTAGAATAGGCTGAACTGGAACTCAGGTCAGTTTTCCTGCCTCAGCCTCCAGTATGCTGGGATTATTACTACAGATTTTTTTTTTTTTTTTTTTTTGAGATGGGACAGCCTGGGCAATATATGGAGATCCTAACTCCAGCTCCTAGGCTCAAGTAATCTTCCTGCCTCCACCTTGCAAGTAGCTGGAACTATAGGCATGTGCTGTCTTTCCAGCTGTTATGAATTACGTGATCTTCCTGAGCCATCCTCTCCTAAGTAGTTGGACCTGCAGGTAGGCACCATAATGTGTGCATTTTTTTGTCCTGTAACAGAATGTCAACTGTGTAGACCAGGCTGATCTTGAATTCATAATCCTACCTCTGCCTCCCAAGAACAGGGAAAGATAAGGAACTGGAGAGATGGCCCAGTGATGAAGAACACTGACCATTCTTGCAGAGGGCCCAGGTTCCATTCTCAGAGCACATATGGTTGGTAACAATTGTTAGCCTCCAGTTCCAGGGCATCTAATGCCTTCTGACCTCCACAAACTTGTATGACGTGGTTGTACTTACACTCTTATAGGCAACAAACACATAATATAAAACTTTTTTTTTTTTTGGTCTTTTTGAGGCAGGGTCTCCCTGTAGTAGCAGCTGTCCTGGAACTCGCTGTGTAGACCAGGAGATCCGCCTGCCACTGCCTCCCAAGTGCTCTAAATTTTGCTTTAAATTTTGCACATTTTATGTATGTTATATACTTACATAATCTGAAAATAGTCTTCACTATCTGTTTTTGTAGCCATTGGAAAAGAAGTTTGTCCGAGTTTCAGGAGAAGCAACTATTGGGCATGTAGAAAAATTTCTCAGAAGGAAAATGGGTCTTGATCCAGCTTGTCAGGTATAGTACATGTATGTAAAAGGAAAGGTGAGGTTTGAAGACTACCTTTGAAGTATTGAAGAAAGAACTATCACTAGGGTCATGTAGTGGCTTTTTTATGATGCTATAAATATTGTGATTGCCAATTGAATACTAATACACGCTAATTCCCACCCCAACTATTTTCTTTTTTGAGACCGGGTCTCCCTGTAACCACAGCTGTCCTGGAACTCCTTATATAGACCAGGCTGGCCTTGAACTCCCAGAGATCCACCTTCCTCTGCCTCCTGAGTGCTGGGATTAAAGGCATGCCCCACCATGCCCTTTTTTTTTTGGTCTTTTTGAGACAGGGTCTCCCTGTAGCCCCAGCTGTCCTGGAACTCACTATGTTGACCAGGCTGGCCTTAAACTCACAGAGACCCACCTCACTAGTGCTGGGATTAAAGGCGTGTGCCACCATTCCCAGCTACCCTCCAATTCTTATTGCCATTGAGGACCTACATGCACCACATGTGTACAATGCCCATGGAGGTCAGAAGAGGGTGTCAGATCCACTGGAACTGGAGTTACAGGTGGTTGTTGGCTGCCACGTTACTGGGAACTGAACCCTGGTCCTCTTGAGAGAGCATCTTAACTGCTGAGTCCAGCCTGTGATAATCATTTCTTGGTATCAGGAAAAACTGGAGATGGGAATCATAACAGGCTTCTATAGCCTCACTTCTGTTTATTATCCATTTTTTCTTCAGAAGGCATCCTCAATAGGTATATAACAAGGAAGCTCAGAATACCTTGAAAATGGAAATGCCTATTAGAGACCTTTTTTTTTTTTTTTTAAGACAGGGTCTCCCTGTAGCCTCATTTGACTCTTGGAACTGGGTATGTAGTCTCTCTACCTTCCAAGTGCTGGGATTAAAGTGTGTGCTACCATGCCTGGTGGGTTTTTGGAGGTTTTTTTTTTTTTTTTTTTTTTTTTGTCCTTTTGAGACAGGCTCTCCCTGCAGCCTCAGCCTGCCTAGAACTCACTATGTAGACCAGGCTGGCCTTGAATTCACAGAGATCCACCTGCCTCTGCCTCCCCCTCTTGAGTGCTTGGGATTAAAGGTGTGGAACACCTAGATTCTGGAGAGATGACTCAATGATTAAAAGCACTGGCTATTCTTGAAGAGGACCTGGGTTCCGTTTTCAGCACCCACATAGTGGCTAACAACTTCTGTAACTCTAGTTTCAGCCACCCTCTTCTGGCCTCTGGGCATTGCATACATAACATGAATGTACTCACACACATAAAGGCAAAACACTCAGACAATAAATATATATTTTTTTTTTCGGTCTTTTTGAGACAGGGTTTCCCTGTAGTCCCAGCTGGTCTAGAACCAACTTTGTAGACCAGGCTGGCTTTGAACTCATAAAGATCTGCCTGCCTCTACCTCCCAAGTGCTGGAATTAAAGGCCTGAGCCACTACCCCAGCATAAAACATTTTTAAAGATCTACTTGCATAATATTTTCTTGTAAAATGGAAAACCTCAAGCCTTTTTAGGCTATTGAAAAATAAAATGTCCTCATAATTTTAGTTATGTGGGTTGACAGTGTTTGGGAGGCAGAGGCAGGCAGGTTTTTGTGAGTTTGAAGCCAGCCTGGTCTACACAGTGAGTTCCAGGCCAACCAGGGCTACGTAGTGAGACCCTGTCTCAAAAAATTAAATAAAGAGGGAAACCTAATACTAATTTTGAGCTTGGCAGTCAGATTTCTTAAATCACCAAGTATGATGCATATACTTGGGCATTGTGGCCAACGTGGTAGTGCACACCAATAATTCTAGCACTTGGAAGGTGGATGGAAACAGGAAGAGCTGGAACTCAAGGCCAGCCTCAGCTACATAGGGAGTTTGAAACTAGCTTGAGTTACATGAGACTCTGTCTCAGAAACAACAAAAGGTTGTCCCATGGCCTCCACATGTCTACCCAAACTCAATACAACACACACCTGGATATTTTCATCTCTGCATATTGAATATGTGTGTATGTGTACATACATGTGCATGTAGGAATGCTGCAGTACATGTATAGAGGCTGGGGAACAACCTTTGGAAGTCGGTACTCTCCCTCTTTTAATGGAGTCTGGGGATGGAACTCAGATGGTCAGACTTTCTCTCTGTAAGCACTTTCACCTGCTGAACCATTTTTGCCAGCCCAGTTATTTTTATTTATTTAACTTTTCTTTGGTCTTTTGAGACAGTGTCGGCCTGGAGCTCACTATATAGACCAGACTGGCCTTGAACTCGCAGAGATCCTCCTGTCTCTGCCTCCCAAGTGCTGGGACTACAGGTGCGCACCACCACCCGTGCAGTACCTGCGGAGGACAGAAGAGGCTGTTGGATCCCCTGGAACTGGAGTTATAGACAGTTGTTAGCTAACATGTGGGTGCTATGATTCAAACCCCGGTCTTCTGCAAGAACAACCAGTGTTCTTAACCACTAAGCCATCTGTCCAGCCCCAGAATTCAACATTTTATCATTTAGAAATACAATTATGAGCTGGGCATGGTGACACAGGTCTTTAATCCCAGCAGAGGTAGGTGGATCTCTGTGTCTGAAAAAAACCAAAAATTAAAAAAAAAAAAAAAAAAAGAAATACAATTATTTAAAATGGTCTCAACTTTTAATTTTGTCAGTTCCTATCTCTGTTGGTAAATATTCCTCCCTTAGTCTGTTAGTACTTAGCTTGTAATACTCAAATTGGTGTCTCATCAAAATGTTGAAATATTTTCTGGAAAGATGGCTCAGTGGTCAAGAGCACTGGCTGCTCCTGCAGAGGACCCAGGTTTCGTTCCCAGTACCTACACGGCAGCTAACAACTGTTTGTGATTGCACTTCCTGGAGATCCGATGCCTTCTTCTGGCTCTGTAGGTACACATGGGTACACTTACATACATGCAGGCAGAATACTCATACAAATAAAAGGTTGAAATAATAATGATAAAGGGGGGCTAATAGATGGCTCAGTGGTTGAGCACTTGCTTTTGCAGAGGACCTGAGTCGGTTCCCTGAACCCAGGGGCTCCAACTTCTTCTGGCAGCTGGTACTTCACCAGTGTGGTGCACCTACATAAATGTAAGCAGAACACTCAAAAAAAATGAAAATAAATCTTAAAATGATAAAGATTATCAAAGATAGAAGCCCATTTGTGACTTCAGTTCAAGCTTTCTAAATTCTAGAGATGATAAATAATGGGCTACTTTTTGTGCTTGCATTTGTACAGTACTGAGGATTGAACCCACGAATTCACACATGCTAGGCAAATGTTCTGTCACTGAGCTCACCTCCATCTCCTAGTGTGTATTTTTTTTTTTTTTTTTTTTTTTTTTTTTTTTTGAGATAGGGAATCGATATTAACAAAGACTGGCCTAGAACTTACCATGTACTCCCTGTTGACCTTGAACTTGGGGCAGTTTTTCTGCCCTAGCATTTTCTTTTTTTGGCCTGGTAGACCAGGCTGGTCTCAGTCTCACAGGTATCTGTCTGCTTCTGCCTCTCAAATACTGGGATTAAAGGTATGGGATACCATACCTGGCCTATGCCTCAGCTTCTTGAGCCCTGGAGTTAACCGGTATATGCTACCCTGTCTAGATCCTAGCCTTTTTCAAAGTTTGAAGACAGAATCTTGTTGAGTTGCCCAGGCTAGCTTCCAACCTTTTATTCTGTGCCTCCTGAATGGGAACCACAGGCATTTGCCAAACAAGCATGAGGACCTTAGTTCATAGTTCTCTGTAAAAGCCAGGCCTGGCAGGGCATGCCTGTAACTGAAACATTTGAGGCAGAGATATATGAATGCCCTGAGCTCACTGGTCAGTCATCTTAACAAATTGGTGAGCTCCAGGTTCAGTGAAGAGACCTTGTCTCAAAGAATAAGGTGGAGAGTGATACAGGACACCCAACATCAATCTCTGGGCTTCATGTCTATGTACATGTGCACACACACAAAGAGAATGCTTCATCTAGTTTTTAAAAATTTACTGTAGCTGGGTGTGGTGGTGCACGCCTTTAATCCCAGCACTTGGGAGGCAGAGGCAGGTGGATCTCTGTGAGTTCAAGGCCAGCCTGTTCTAAATAGTGAGTTCCAGGCCAGCTGGAGCTACAGGGAAACCCTGTCTCAAAAAGACAAGACAAAAAAAATTTACTGTAATACTGAGCTGGGCATGGTAGCACACGCCTTTAATCTCAGCACTCAGGAGGCAGAGGCAGGTGGATCTCTGTGAGTTGGAGGTGAGCCTGGTCTCCATAGCAAATCCAGGCCAGCTTGGGGCTACAGGGAGACCCTGTCTCAAAAAGACAAAAAAATATCACAATTAGCCACCGTGCCCAGCTAAAAAACATTTCTTACTATAATATAACTAAATCTACTCTGGAAGAAATTATGCCAATTTTCCCCCTTCATTTCTTTGGATGATGACCCTATTGTTTTTCCATAGGTAGATATCATCTGTGGTGATCACTTGCTGGAACGGTACCAAACACTACGGGAAATCCGACGTGCAATAGGTGATACAGCAATGCAGGTAGTTCTCAGACTTTATCAGCCTTTGACTGTTTAATGAATGACAAAGGCTCTATGTTGAGCTGAGGATGTAGCTCAGTTGGTAGAGTGCTTGCCTAGTGTTCATGAAACCCTAGATATGATCCCTAGCACTGTATAAATTAAATGTGGTAGCACAGATCTGATGCTAGCACTCAGGAAGTGCTAGCAAGAGGATCAGAAGTTCAAGGTTGTCCTTAGCTACGTAGCAAGTTTGAGGCTAGCCTGGGTTATATAGGCTACAAATAAGTTTAGCTAATAATTAAGGGCTCTTAACTGTGTGTCAAGAGCTATTTTAAGTGACTTGTATGGGTTACTTCATTTACTTTCATTTCTTATCTATGGAGTATTTCTCTCCCCCTTTTTGGGGAGTGGTACTGGGGTTATCACTGAACTGTATCTCTTCCCATTCTTTACTTTTGTTTTGAGATATCACTAAAATGACTGGGCTGCCCATGAACTTGGTTGGTAGTCCTGGTGGGCCTTGCATTTGTGGTCTACCTTAGGCTCCCAAGTATTGGGGATTGCAGGTCTTGCCTACCAGTCCCTACTTTCCTGTTTTAAAGATACTTATTGAGGGACATATGTTCTGAGATAAGCATCATTAGGCAGTTTCATTTGTGAACATCATAGGTTTGCCTAGATGGTATAGCCCATTGTATACCTAGACTGAATTATAATCTTATAAGATTTAGAGATTTACATACCATTTATAGCTCAGTAGGTTAGAAGTTAACTATTTTGGTTTAATTAACCTATAATGTGAGTAATACTATAATGTAAAGTCTTTTGGTCAGTATAATTAGCAATTCTACAATTTTAATGTAAAAGCAAGCTAGAACTTTTAATGAAGAGATAAACAAAATATTCTAATGTATCTTTCATCCTAGAATGATTTTTTTAAAATGAGCTATATGGCAAATTGGTAGAAGCATAATTGCCTATTTTCAGTTGATTGAGTAGAGCACCTACTTATTGTATACTACAGGGCCAGGCATGGTAGCACACACTTTTAATCCCAGGATTTGGAAGGCAGGCTGATCTCTGAGTTTGAGGACAGCATGGTTTACATAGTGATCAGGGCTAGGGCTGTATAATGAGACCCTAACTCACACAAAAAAAGATAGGATACAGAATATTGTGTTAATTATCTTATTAGTGTTACATATGTAATTCCTTGGAAGCAGAAAAGTACACGCATCTACTCTTATGTGTGTAGACAGGTCATAATTGAAAATTGTGAGACTAGCTGACTTTGATCCCACAGAGATCCACCTGCCTCTACTTTCTGAGTGCTGGGATTAAAGGCATGAGCCACTGTGCTCAGCTTAAATTTTAAAATATTAATTATCTTATTAGTGTTACATATGTAATTCCTTGGAAGCAGAAAAGTACACGCATCTACTCTTATGTGTGTAGACAGGTCATAATTGAAAATTGTGAGACTAGCTGACTTTGATCCCACAGAGATCCACCTGCCTCTACTTTCTGAGTGCTGGGATTAAAGGCATGAGCCACTGTGCTCAGCTTAAATTTTAAAATAATATTTTTTTTTTTATATATGTGTATGAGTTTATTGCCTGCCTGTATGTAAGTGCACCTGTGTTGTGCAGTGCTCACAGAGGTCAGAAGAGGGTGTCAGATCCCCTTTAACTAGAGTTACAGATACATGGATAGTTGCTAGCCACCACCTGGGTGCTGGAAACCAAACCCAGGTCCTCTGTAAGAACAGCCATTGCTCTTAACCACTGAACTGTCCAGCTCCAAGGCTTAATCCCAGCACCCAGGAGGCAGAAGCAGGCAGATCTCTGTGAGTTCAAGGCCAGCCTGGTCTACGTAGTGAGTTCCAGGACAGCTGGGACTACAGGGAGACCCTGTCTTAAAAAGACCAAAAAAAAAAAAAAAAAAAAAAATTATGTGTATTGATTGTTTTGTCTATATGTGTGTGTGTTTTTAATGTGACTTCATTATGAGGGTACCAGGCATGTGGTACACAACATATATACAGGCAAAGCACATATACATAACATAAAAACAAATCTTTTAAAAAATGTTACTACTATTAGTGCTAGAGATTGAACCCAGGACCTCATGCATGTTGAGTATGTGCTCTGTTCCTGAGCTATAACATATAGTTCCAACCCTCTCTCTTTCTCTCTCTCTCTCTCTTTCTTTTTTTTTTTCTTTCTCCCTGCCTCTCTTTCTTCCCTTTCTGTTTTTGGTCTTTGAGGTGGGGGGGGTTGGTTCTTATTGAGACGGTCTCCCTGTAGCCTCAGCTGGCCTGGAACTCACTATGTAGACCAAGCTCACTTCAAACCTACAGAGATCTGCTTGCCTCTGTCTCCTGAGTGCTGGGACCACCACACCTGGCTTTTTTTGGTTTGTTTTCTTTGGTCTGTTTTATTGTTGTTTTGGTCTTTTTGAGACAGGGTCTCCCTGTAGCCTCAGCTGTCCTGCAACTCATTATGTAGACCAGGCTGGTCTTGAACGCACAGAGATCCACCTGCCTCTGCCTCCCGAGTGCTGGGATTAAAGGCGTGCGCCACCACGCTCGGCTGTTATTTTTTCTAATATTTTATTTATTATTTTTATTTTATGTGTATGAGTATATTATCTACATGTATGTGAGAGCACCTGTGTCATGCAGTGCCGTGGAGGTCAGAAGAGGGCTTCAGATTCCCCTGGAACTGGAGTTAAGGATGGTTTGTAGCCACCATGTAGGTTCTGGGAATTGAATCTGGGTCCTCTGCAAGAGCAGTCAGTGCTCTTAACCACTTAATCACTCCAGCCCCTCTTTGGCCTTTTTAAGGCAGTCTCCCTGTAGCAACAACTGGCCTGGAAGTCACTATGGAGACTTGGCTGGCCTTGAACTCACAGATCTGCCTGCCTCTAGCTCCCGAGTGCTGAGATTAAAGGCGTGCGCCACCACGTCCGGCTATTTATTATTTTTATGTGTATGAGTGTTATGCCTGCACGAAGGTAAGTGCACCCGTGTCATGCAGTGCCCACAGAGGACAGAAGAGGCTGTCGGATCCCTGGAACTGGAGTTACAGACACTTGTTAGCTTCCATGTCGGTGCTGGGATTTGAACTCGGGTCTTCTGCAAGAAGTCAGTGTTCTTCACTGCTGAGCCATCTCTCTAGCCCTGGCAATAACTTTGTGTTATTTATCGTATTCATTTATTTATTTATTGAGGTTGTGTGTATTGAGGTCAGAGGACAACTTGGGAGTTTATTCTCCCACCATGTAGATCCTGGAGATCCAACTCAGGTTGTCAGGCTTGGCAGCAAGCTTCCTGCTTAATCATGGCATTGACCCAGAACTTTGGGTTTTAAGCTGAGAGTAGTGGCTCACACCTGTTGTTTTCTCTTTCTTTTCCATTTTGTGTGTGTGTGTGTGTGTGTGTGTGTGCGTGTGCGTGTGCGTGTGCACACAGGTATGAACAGGTTGATGTTTAGAATCTTTCTCTATTCCTTTTCCACTTTATCCATTGAGACAGAATGTCTAAATCAAACCCAGAGCTCACCAGTATGGCTAGTCTTGCTAGCCAACTTGCTCTTGTGGTATCCCTGTCTCCAGCCTTTGGGGCTGAATTACAGGTGAGCTGCTACTCCACCTGGCATTTTATTGAGTTCTGAGGATGCAAACACTAGTCCTTATACTTGGGTGGGAAACAATTTTAACCAACAAGCCATCTCCCTAGCCCAACACTTGTTAATCTCAGTACTGAAGAGGCTGAGACAGGAAGACTGCTATGAGTTTGAAGGCAGTCTCAGCTACGTAGTAGGACCTTGTATCAAACAAAATCAAAAGTAGTTGGAGAGATGGCTGAGCAGTTAAGAGTGCTGGCTACTCTTGCAAAGGACCTGGGTTTGGTTCCCAGCACAGATATGATGGCTAACAACCATCTGTAACTCTAGTTCCAGGAGATACAATGCCCTCCTCTGGTCTTCATAAGGACTGCATATACATGTGCACTTATATACATGCAGGCAAAACATAGAAAGTAACCAAAAACCTCCTGGCTTTAATTGAGTGTGGCAGGAAAGTGTTGAAAAGTTTTAAGCCAAATAGAAGTGACCTAATCTGATTTAATAGTCTATTGTGGTTGGCTAGTGTCTTAGTGTGTTTGGTATCATGTAACAAAATACCTGAGAGTCAGCAACTTATAATAAATTGTATTTGGCACATGATTCTGGTGGCTGAAAAGTCCAAACAGCATAGTCCTGGTGACCACACTGGCTGGGGTCAACCTGGGCGGCATGACTATCTCAGAAAAAAAGAGGCCAGGCATGGTGGGGCACACCTTTAGTCCCAGCACTCAGGTGGCAAAGGCAGGCAGATCTCTGTGAGTTCAAGGCCAGCCTGGTTTACATAGTGAGTTCCAGGACAGCTGGGGCTACAGGGAGACCCTGCCTCAAAAAGACAAAAAAATAGAGGTTTTGGAGCTTTGGCTCAGATGTTAAGAGCTTGTATTGCTCTTCCAGGGGACCGGAGTTTGGTTCCCAGCACCCACATTGGACAGCTCACAATTGCCTATAATAACTCCAGTTACAGGGGATCCAATGCAGTGCACTCACATGCAGACACCACTCACAGACACACATATACATTTAATTAAAAATTAAGGCAGGCGGATCTCTATGAGTTAAAGGCCAGCCTGGTCTACACAGTGAGTTTCAGGACAGCTGGGCTACAGGGAGACCCTGTCTCAAAAAGAAAAAAGAAAAAAAAAAAAAAGTTTTTTAAAAAGACACGTTGATATATGGAGTGCTTGGTGATGCTAGTAAATAGTTAACATTTATCTTCTTTATTTAAAGGATTTCTCATTAGTGTTGAATTATAAGTGCTTTGGTTTGATCATATACTCTACATAACTGGTTTTCAAAGAACATAAAATAATCTTTTTTCCCTTTTCAGGATGGTCTGCTTGTCCTTCATTATGGTCTTGTGGTTTCTCCTCTGAAAATAACTTGAAGATGCAAGGATATATGAGGAGGGAAACAAAGTAGGGCGGCTTCTGCAGGTCTGCATCTCACCAAAGATTCCACAAACCATGCAATCACCACCACTTTGTGCTATTCAAGAGCTAACATCTGTTTTCAGCACCAGGAATCCTAGCATTTGTAGGTACAACTTGAAACAATGAAATGTTTTTGTTTCATTAGAGACTATATGTGAAAAGCACTCAAAACTCAGGGGAAAAATTCAAAACACTGAATTTTAAAATTCCTTATGATTCCTTAGGTTGAATTGTTGCTTCCCATCTTTGAGGTGTATTGTTCATTCTTTTCTCCTTTGTTGAGCTGTATTCCTTTCAAGTTGGTGGCTGGGATCTGCTCTCCAGGATGTATCAGGTGGGCAGTTGTTCTTTCAGAAAAAGCTTTGCTTTTGAAGGGGAAATCCAAAGCCAGTCTAGTAAACCACAATGTGTGCTCTCAGAACCAAAACTACTGGCCATATGTATGTTTTAAATGCTAGTACTATTACTAAAGCAATGTTCAGTTTTAAGATGGATGGATTACATTATGTGGAGAGACTCACCCGTAGAGCTTATGGTTCGTCTTAACATATCTTAAAATTAAGAGGTGCTTCTTTGTGAAGATTTTTAATTTTATTTACATATGTATTAGTGCTGCTGGTATGGTGGTATCAAAATTCCCACAGTGTGGTTGTTGATACCTTGTAAGGGCACTGCTTCTAAAAGGTAACAGGTTTCAGGTGAATCCAGAAGTTTACACAGTACCTACTGACTCCATGTTTAATGTGCGTTTTCTTATTGTCACTGGGATAGAAAAGAGTTTAAGAATTTTGCTTTCATGCGGACTTCAGTTTTAAACATTATTTTGCCTAAAATTAGCATCCTGACACATTCTAAAAAGAGTATTTTATAGAGTTGTTCACAGCAGAAATTCCAAATTGTACAGACAGAAAATTGGACAAAGATTGGCAATTGTTTTGTAAGGAATTCGTGAATTATGCATAAATCCACCATTTAATAAAATTTTTTAGTCAATTTTGAAGTGTGTTGGCTGGATTTTTTTCTTTATTTTTTACATTTATTTTGTGTGTATGTGTATGGGTGTACATGTGCCATAGTGTGTGTGTGTGTGTGTGTGTGTGTGTGTGTGGAGGTCATAGGACAACTTGGAGGTTAGTTCTCTCCTTCGACCCTGTGGGTTCTCGGGTTCAAACTTGGGTAGTCAGGCTTGGCAGCAAGCACCTTTACCCACTGAGTCATCTCAGCAGCCCTTGACTGAATTTTATTTTATTAAATTTATTTTTATTTTATTTTTGTCTTTTTGAGACAGGGTCTCTAGCCCCAGCTGCCCTGAAACTCAGAGATCTGCCTGTCTCAGCCTTCCAAGTACTGGGATTAAAGGCCTGTGCCGCCATGCCTGGCTACCTAGACTGAATTTAAAAAAAACAAAACACAGGGCCTGTTATAGTGGTGCATGCCTTTAACCCCATGAGGCTGATCTCTGTGAGTTCAAGGCCAGCTGGTCTACATAATGAGTTCCAGGCCAGCTGGGGCTATAGGGAAACCCTGTCTCAAAAAGACCAAAAAACACAAAATAAAGCAAAAACAACAACAAAAAACAACAAAGAGAAGCAAGAGGATCACTGCCAGTTTGAGGCCATCCTGGTCTACATAGTGAGTTCTGGGTCATCTAGGGTTATGCAATGTGACCCTATCTCAAAAATAGGTAGTAAGTAAACAAGAAAGCTGATTTAACTGGAGCAAAAAGGAAATATTAGTATTAAAAGATTGTCCTGGAGGTGGGTGGTAGAACATAGGCTTACATGCAAGGCCTTAGGTAAAATGCCCAAACAAACAGAGAAGGGGTTGGGGAATGTACTTACTGGTAGGACTTGCCTGGCATGCATGAAGCTCTGGGTTCAATCCTCAGCATCACATAAATGGGATGTCGTGGTACACACCTATAATCCTAGCACCTGGGAAGTGCTTACTGTGTGTCAAGCACTATTTTCAGTGGTCAGCCCAGATTCATCTGTCTTCATCTATTCCTCATAGGTAACCAATGTGTTAAATACTATTCCTTCTCTCACTTTTTTGTGTAAGTGGGAATTGAACCTAACATTGACCTACAATCCCCTGCCCATTTTTCACTTAAAAAAGATTGCTTTTGTGTGTCTCTGACTCTGTGTGTGTATGCAGGTGTATGTACCTGTGCATGCATAGAGGCCAGAAGCAGGTGTTGGATCCTTCAGAGCTGAAGTTACAGGCATCTGCTGGGTGTCTGGTTTGTTGGGTGCTGTGCTCAAGATTGTACAGCAAGCATGTTTAACCACTGAGCCAACCCTCACATTTTCTTTTGATAGGGTTAGATGTCAGCCTGGGATACATGAAAGTCTTTCTCTTGACTGTGGGGTTGAAAAAAATGAATGTGAATGGCTTCACCTCAAAACTGGACTGTGGAAATCTAAATTTATTACCTAGAAAGATTAATAGTCTTTTCACAAATGAAATGCCAAATTGATCTCCTGAAAGCGTGCCAAGCACAAATAAGGAATGGCTGTTATGGATCCATCTTTACTGTATTTTGATTTTGTTCTAATGATGTCTGGTCTCTTATTGTGGTATTATTTTAATTTAAGTAAAAGATTTTCAGGGCTGTGACTTTCCAAGTGATCTTGCTATAGAATGATCGGGTTATAGATGTGTGCCATTGAATCTATTTTTTTTAATGTGGGTTCTGGGGTCACCAGGATTGTGTGACCAATGCTTTCATTCACTGAGCCATCACCCCTCTCTTATTTATTATTTATTTATAAATTTTAAAAATATTTTTAATTTAAGTTTTTTTGTTGTTGTTTTTTGTTTTTGTTCTTTTTGAGACAGGGTCTCCCTGTAGCCCCAGCTGGCCTGGAACTCACTATGAGGACCAGGCTGGCCTTGAACTCACAGAGATCTGCCTGCCTCTGCCTCCCAAGTGCTGGGATCAAAGGCGGGCACCACCATGCCTGGCTTATGTATGTTTTACCTGCATGTACATAGGTGTATCCATGTTGTGCAGTACCCGCAGATATCAGAAGAGTGTGTTGGATCCCCTGGAACTGGAGTTGTGAATGGTTGTTAGCCACCATGTGGGTGCTAGGATTTGATCGTTTTTTTTGTTTGTTTGTTTTTGAGACAGGGTTTCCCTGTAGCCCCAGCTGTCCTGGAACTATGTAGACCAGGCTGGCCTCAAATTCACAGAGATCCGCCTGCCTCTGCCTCCCGAGTGTTGGGATTAAAGGCGTGCACCACCATGCCCAGCTGGGTGCTAGGATTTGAACCTATATCTTCTGCAAGAGCAGCCAGTACTCTTAACCATTGAGCCATCTCTCCAGCCCTTCTTCCAATCATCTTTTTGAGACAGAGGCTCATGAACTCTTCATTCTGCTTCCATGCCCAAGTACCAGGATTACAGGCATGCGCCACCCTGCTAGCCCTGTTGCCTTTTTTTTTTTTTTTTTTCTTTCAAGATAGCTGTGCTTAAAATCAGTGGCAATCAAACCTACCTCGGCTCTTTTTGAGAAGGGTCTTACCACATAGTCTTGAATTCACAGTCCTTAGCCTCCTAAATGCTAAGATAACAGGTTTTCACTATCATGTCTGGTGAGTTCCTTCCTAAGGAATAAGCAGATTTATGTATTAATGAGATTGATGTCAAAGCATTTATTTTTTCCCTTTCTTCTTGTCTTACATGTATTTTTCAATAAGCAGGAGAGGAAGGAGGAATACAGCTTGGCAGCTAACCTCTTGGGCTCTGAGGCTGGACCTGCATTCTGCCTTCATTCTAATTCTAACCTTGGCTTTTCTGCTTCTGCTTACACTAGAGTATTCCACAGATAGTTTCATTCGTCAGAAAGAGCTCCTTTCATTGCACTAAAGGTTGCTTAATTCTGAAGGACATCAGGAGTTGTATCAGGTATGAATCCTATCAGAAATGGGCAGTACATCTCTCCATCACTCTGTAGAACAGATGAATCTAAGTGAGTTAAATTTGTTTTAGTATGTACTTCTGGTGGCTCAGGCTGGAGTTCCATTTATTTGGGAGGCCGAGGCAGAAGAATCACAGGAGCCAGTGTAGGTAAAATAGACCCTAGCTAGACATGGTGGCACTGGCCTGTTATCTGTGTACTTGGAAGGTAGAGACTCAGAAGATCCTGAGTTTGAGGCTACCCTTGGCTAGGTAGCAAGTTCCAGGCCAGTTTGGGCTATGAGATCCTGTCAAAAAAAAAAAAAAAAAATTTAGGGACTGAAGAGATGGTTCAGCAGTTAAGAGCACTGGCTGCTCTTACAGAGGACACGGATTTGAATCCCAGAACCCACATGGGTGCTAACAACCATTTATAACTCCAGTTCCAGGGGAATCCTACGTTCTCTACTGACCTCCATGGGCATTGTGTGACACAGATGCACTTATATACAACAGGCAATATACTTGAACTGGAGTTACAGATGGTTGTTAGCTGCCATGTGGGTGTTGGAAACTGAACCCAGGTCCTTTGCAAGAGCAGCCAGTGCTCATAACTGCCGAGCCATCTCTCCAGTCCCTATTTTAAAATTGTGTGTGTGTGTGTGTGTGTGTGTGTGTGTGTTTATGTGAGTGCAGGTGCCCACAGAGGCCTGAATAGGGTGTTAGATCCGTTATAGCTGGAGTATCCTGCCTGATGTGGATGCTGGAAACTGAATTCAAGTCCTCTGCAAGAACAGTACATGTTCTTAACCACCCAGCCATTCATCTTTTTAGCCCCCTGGATGAAGGCTCTTAAACAAGGTGAACAAATGGACAAACAACAACAACAAAATACTTCTATGCTTTTTTTGCCCAGCTCAATAATCAATGATTGACTAAACCCTGATTATGCTAGCCTTTATACTAATGATTTTGGTTACACTCTGCTGGGCATTCTAAAACCCTTAAGGGCCAGTTCCAGGACTAGAATGAAATGTCACAAACAATGAACAGAGACCACCTGCTTCATTAGGGAAGAGAGTGGCCATCTGGTATCTACAGTGATGAATCAATGAGGAAGAGCGAGTAGAAAGCCCTCCATAATCCATCTTCATTTTCCTTTGTAGCTGGAGCTATGAAGAATCACCAAGAACTGCAGAAACAAATCTTCAAAGATCTGCACTGTGACTCACTTGCTGTTTTAATATAATCCCACTCTGTGTGCATCTGTGCATTTGTGTGTCTGTGTATTCTGTAAGAAAGGATTTATAAATATTAGTTGATCGCTATCCCTGCTTAGTAAGCCTGTAGAATCTCATCCTAAAACACAGAAGCAATCAAATCATCTTCTAAGAGATCAATAGAGGAGGAGAGGAGCCCTTTGATCTGTGAGGTAATCATTCTCTTTGTCTTTTAAGGGATGCAGTAGAGCAAGGTAATGTAATTAAAAACAGTCCTTTGTTCAGCTGGATTCAGGAGCATTTACCCCATTTGCAAATGACATATCCACGAGATATTTGGCAACTGCAAAATGCATGGTGACATCAATCTAATCTGCACATTGTGAAATGTTGCAAAGACAGTATTATAGGTTCTATAAAGAAAAATGAAGTTTTATATATGAACTTTAAGGGCTTACAATGTCTGCCTCTCAATTATTTCCATCTTAAATTATTGTCTTTGCTTTCAGGTGCACCAGTTTATTTGATTCTAAGAAAAATGTAGGGGTTGGAGAGATGGCTCAGTGGTTAAGAACACTGTTCTTGCAGAAGACCTGGGTTCAAATCCCAGCACCCACATGGCAGCTAACAACTGTCCGTAACTCCAGTTCCAGGGGATCCGACAGTCTCTTCTGTCCTCCAAGGGCATTGCACAAGTGCACTTACCTACATGTAGACAATACATGCATACACATAAAATAAAAATAAATATTGAAAAAAAAGAAGAAAAAAATGTAATCTTGGATTTTTTTCAGGAACTTAGAGATGTCTAGTGATATAATGAAAATACCAGTTGAAAGCAGTGTTGGATGCTTATAAGTAAGCACCATTGCCATTTTTCTTCTTTTTCTTGTATTACATCCAAAGTGATTCTTGGCTTTTTTTCCAGGCTGTGTTTTAAATCAGCTGTTTTATGTTATTCTGAAGGGATTCCTTCTACCTGGGTTGGACCCTAGGGAGGATGGCTATGTACAATGGTCTCAACTAGAACAGAAGGTGTAGTAGGCTTCTATGATGTTTATCTGATAATTCCATAAATTCCCTATCAGTGGATTTTTAAAAATGTATTTATTTTTTATTTAATGTATATGAGTGTTTTGCCTGCATGTATATAAGTACACTATGTGAATGCAATGTCTCTGGAGGCCAGAAGAGAGCACTGGATTCCCTGGAACTGGAGTTATATAGATGGTTATTAGCTCTCATGTGGGTTCTAGGAACTGAATGGGGGTCCTGTGTAAGAGCAGCCAGTGCTCTTAACCACTGAGCCATTTCTCCAACTTCCCCCACATCAATGGATTTTAAAAGCTGAGTTTAGGGGCTGGAGAGATGGCTCAGCGGTTAAGAACACTGGTTGTTCTTGCAGAAGATCCAGGTTCAAATCCCAGCACCCACAGGGCAGCTAACAACTGTCCGTAACTCCAGTTCCAGGGAATCTGACGGCCTCTTCTGTCTTCTGTGGGCATTGCATGACACGGGCACACTTACCTACATGTAGGCAATACACTCATACACATAAAGTAAAAATAATAAAATTTTTTTTAATTAAGTTTAAATTTACATAAGACAAAAAAATTAAAAAAAAAACTTTTTTGGTTTTGTTTTTTGAGACAGGGTCTTCCAGTAACCCCAATTGGCCTAGAACTCACTATGTAGATCAGGCTGGCCTGGAACTCACAGTGATCCACCTGTCTCTGCTTTCCAAGTGCTGGGATTAATGGTGTGTGCCACCATGCTTGGCTAAAAAAATCAATGCTCAATGGGTAGAATGTTTGCTTTGGATCACCAGAACTGAAGTGAAAAGCCAGGTGGATATAGGGCCCACCTGTAATCCCAGCACGTAGGAGACAGAGATAGGATCTCTGGAGCAAGTTAGCTAGCCAGATGAGCCAAAATGAAGAGCTCTAGGTTCAGTGAGAGACTGCCTCAACATGTAAGGTAGAAAACTGTTGAAGGACAACTGATGTCAACTGTGGGCCTTCCTATGCACAAATGATGTGCATCACCCCAGACAGAAGGATAAAAATAAATCAATCATTTTAAAGTAACTGATTCAGAAGCTGGGTATGGTGGTGCACGCCTATAAATACAGTACCCAGGCTTGAGGTAGGTCACAAGGAAGTTCTAGAACTTTATCCCTGTGTGACTATTTATAACTTGAATTAATTCTGGAGCTAAATCTGGGCCCAAACATGCAGATAATTGCTTCAATCTTGTAACCCTCCTGAGGAAGTGAAGTAAATAAATGCTAAGTATTCTGAATACTTGAAGGCTGTCTATGTAATGCTTCTTCCTTCCCAGGCTTGTTGATGGGATGCAACAGAATTTCTTTGCAAAGTTGTAAGAAATCCTCTTGCCACCCTCACTTTTAATAGGGAAATAACATCTGAGTTGTCTTAACTTTTTAGTGGAACAGAAGTGATTCATGGCTGAATGGGAGAGCTCTGGTTTTTGTTGTCATCATTATTAAATTTTTAGACAAGGTCTGGTTATGTAACCCAGGTTGTCCTGGAACTCAAAATCTTTCTGAACCTCAGCCTCCTAAGTGTTGTGTATATGCCACTCTTGCCCAGCTCAGTCTGGTTTTGTTTATTGTTTTTGTAGTTTTTGTTAAGAAAGGGGCTCATAGGGCTGGAGAGATGGCTCAGCGGTTAAGAACACTGGTTGTTCTTACAGAAGACCAGGGTTCGAATCCCAGCACCCACATGGCAGCTTACAACTATCCGTAACTCCAGTTCCGGGGAATCCGATGGCCTCTTCTGTCCTCCTTGGGCATTGCACAACACAGATACACTTACCTACATGCAGGCAATACACTCATACACATAAAATAAAAATAAAATATTTTTTTTTAAAAGGGGGCTCGACGGGCGTGGTGGTGCACGCCTTTAATTCCAGCACTTGGGAGGCAGAGGCAGGCGGATCTCTGAGTTCAAGGCCAGTCTGGTCTACATAATGAGTTCTAGGACAGCTGGGGCTACAGGGAGACACTGTCTCAGAAAAGACCAAAAAAAGGGGGGGGCACTCAGGCTCAAACTTGCTTTGTAGCCAAAATGGTCTTGAACTCTTCATTCTCCTGCCTCCATCTCTCAAATGTTGGGATTATAGGCATGTGTCACCACACTGGGGCCAGAATGCTGTTTTGCGTTTTCATTGCCTCACTGCTGGCAGTAGGTGAAGTCTGCACACTGCAGCAGACTGCCTATCTATCACACTTGGTCTCATATTGCCGCGGTTTCTGGGCAGAGAAAGCTTATGTGAAACCTGAAGGGTGGAAAGATTTTTAAAAAGACTTCTACACACTTGCTGGGTGTGGTGGCACATGCCTTTAATTCCAGCACTGGGGAGGCAGAGGCAGGCAGGTCTCTGAAACTCTGTGAGTTTGAGGACAGCTAGACCCTGTCTCAAACACCACACACACACACACACACAAAGTCCACCCTCCCTCTTAAGTAGCACTTTGCCTCAGCCTTCTGAGTTCTGGGATTATAGGCTTGCACCACCATGCCCAGTGGACGCTGTTTTATGTAGTGAAGCAGCATTGGGAAGAAAGGCAGGCATTTTAGAATCAGAAAAAAAGACCAAATCCTAGCTTACTGTGTGACATCATACAAGGGTCTGGGCTTGACTTTGCCATTTTGAGGTTCTATTTCCTTGCTTGTAAAATTTGTGTACAAATACTGTACCTAAAGAGTAGGTATGAGGTTTAAATGAGATAATTCTATGTTTGCTTAGTACTGTGTCTGACATTTATTATACTTAGATACTGAATGTTATAGCTATTATTTTTAAATATTTTATTGTTTTAATTTTATGTGTGTGAGTGTATTTCCTGTGGAGGTATTGGATCCCCTGGAACTGGAGTTATGTAGGATGGCTGTTAGCTGCCATGTGGGTGCTGGGAACCAGATCTGGGTCCTCTGCAAGGGCAGCTAGTGCTCTTAACTGCTGAGCCATCTCTCCAGCGCCATGTTATAGCTATTGTTAACAGATGTATGTCTTAGGGTGCTGGGGGGAGGGGGCACTGGGGAGATGGCTTGGTGGGTAAAGTGCTTGATGCACAAGCATGAGGACCATTTTAGATCTCAAGCACCCATCTAAAAAGCCTAGTATTGCCAAATGTGATGGCTCATGCCTTTTATCCCAGCACTCAGGAGGCAGAGGCAGGCAGATCTTTATGAGATTAAGACCAACTTGGTCTACATAGTGTGTTCCAGGCCAGCTGTGGCTACAGGGTGACCCTGTCTCAAGAAACTAAAAAACCAAAACAAATAAGTAAATGTAAATAAATAAATAAATAAATAAATAAAAAGCCTGTGTGGCAGTGTATATCTGTAACACTGGTGTTGTAGAGGGGCAGAGACAGGATTGTGGGATCTTACTGGCCAGCTAGTGTAGCCAAATCAGTGAGCTCTGAGTTCAGTGAGAGAACCTGTGTCAAAAAATAAGGTGAAGAGGATTGAGGAAGACACCCAGTGTGGCTCTCTGGCCTCCATATGTGCATGCACTTGCACACACATCACACACATCACGCACACACAATCTAATCATTCTGGAAGCCATCTTGAGGGTCACTGATCCACTTTGCGGCAGGATTTCCCACCATCACTTGGACTCATTTTGTTGCCCTGTTTTAAGCTGATGTCTCTTGCTCCCATACTCTCCTCTCTACTTATGAATGTTTTCCATGTTACTTATTGTTCTGATTTAATACAATAATTTATCAGATCCATAAGATCCAGTATTTTTTTTTTCCCTTTGGTGTTTTTGAGACAGGGTCTCCCTGTAGCCCCAGCTGTCCTGGAACTCAGTGTAGACCGGGCTGGCCTTGAACTCAGAGATCTGCCTGCTTCTGCCTCCCGAGTGCTGGGATTAAAGGTGTGCACCACCACGCCCAGCATAGATCCTCTATTTTTTTGATTGAGATAAGGTTTTATAAATCCCAGGCTGACTTGAACTTGTTATGTAGCCAAGGAAGACCTTCTGATTCCTCTGCCTTTACTTCCCATGCTCCCAAGTGCTGGGATTATAGGCATGTACCACCATGCTTTGGTTATGTGGTTTGGAGGATTTAACAGGTTTCATGCATGCCAGGCAAGAACTCTACAAACTCAGCTACTTCTCCATCTCTCTATCCCATGGTGTATGATGCCTGTGTGTGTGTATGTACCCGTGAGCACATGCACAAAGGCACATGATTGTAGAGGTCAGAGGACAGCTTTGGGTGTTGCTTTTCAGGGACCATCCACCTTTGAGACAGGGTCTCTTATTGGCTTGGAGTTCACCAAGTAGGCTAGGCTTTTTTTTTTTTTTTTTAATGTGGATTCTGGCACCAAGCTCAGGTCCTCAGGCTTGCAAGGTGAGCCCTTTTACCAACTGAGCTGTCTTTCCAACCCTTTTATTTTTGAGAGAGTATCACTATGTAGCCCAAGCTGGCCTCAAACTTGTGATGCCTTCTGAGTGATGGGATTACAGACTTGTACCATCACGCTCAATTTTAAGATGCTTTTTTTTTTTTTTTTTTGTCTTTTTGAGACAGGGTCTCTCTGTAGCCCCAGCTGTCCTGGAATTCACTATGTAGACCAGGCTGGCTTTGCACTCACAAAGATCCACCTGCCTCTGCCTGGGATTAAAGGCGTGTGCCACCACACCTGGTCTTTAGGATGCTCTTAATGTTTTTCTTTCATTCCGAGTTCAGGAAATTAGTGGTGACTCATTGAAAAAGAGAAGATTAAATTTAGTTATGGCTGAAAAGTCTGAGAGAAAATGTCACTTTTCTCAGGGAAACAGAAATCATAGAACATGAATCATGTTGGTAGCATTAATGTGACTTTTAATTTCTTATTTTACTAATGTCTTACAGTAAGTGTGAGGGGTAAAGAGGATGGGTCAGGAAAGGAAGAAAAGTGTCTTAAGTTCCTTGAACTATTGAAGCACGTGCTAGAATGAAAGTTTGGTAAAAGCATCACATCCTTATCAGCACAGAGCTTGCAATGGAGATGCAGGGTGGGGACAGGGCAGCTCTTTAGCTCTGGTGGAAGGGAGTGAATCCTGTATCAAACTTGGCACATGTGGCAGACATGGGTATGTGGGTGCCACAGTTGGGTGTATGAAGAGCATACTCTCTAGCCTTCCTTCTTGAACATGGAGAGGAGTGTGACATCCCTCCTGGGGTTGAGTGTCTCTGCCTTTCCTGCAGGGAAGGGACACCCACCAACTGCAGCAGTGCAACAACGCAGGGGAAAGACTGAAAAGAGATTTCTCTCTTGTATTCACTGGTGGTGTTGATTAATCAGAAGTGGTTTGTTCTGTTCTGTTCTTTTTTCACTTTTGGGCAGTAGCATTGTGTCTTGGTGATAAAATATCCTATACCTAGCACTCTTAAAAAGCAAGGCCTCTTGAGGACCTAGACTAAGGGGAAGGGAACTAGATGGATTCTAAGGGCAAGGGCATGAAAAAGCTAATTCTACACCACCACACAGAAAGTGACAGACAAGACCATGATCTTTTCCATTCAGAAACTTACTTCTTACTTTCACCACTAAATCTATCAGCTTAACCACAGCTTGCGATAACTATTACCGTGCTTCTAAAGTTAATTTGAAGAAGCGGAAAGCCTAAAATCTAGAGATATTTTTCACTTTATTTTATATTGGGGGGACTCTTAAAATTCTTCACTGCCATAATCATTTTTTTTAAGCTACAGATTTCAAAGGACATGAAATGGGCAGGGCTAAGTTATCACACAAATCACAAAAAAGGTCAACATGCATCTAATTTTACCCATTGAGCAGAGGGAATAAGTTCTGAGAAGAACCTGCATGTGTTTAAAAGGGAGGAATACTACACCAGCTTTCCCCCCCATCTTGGATGGAAGAAAAGGATATACGGAATTGAGAAGAGTGGAAGGAAAGTGCCCAGGAGAGATGACCTGCCATTTGTGACTCGGCTCTATCAGATTGGGATGGGGTGTGGACCACTGGTTTAGCTTTGGCAGTGTTTTATGTTTTTAGGCATCTGCAGTAAGATTATATAGCTGGGTACTGGCAGGGTCTTGTGAATAAATACAGGTTTTGATTTCAGCTCACAGTGAATGATGATCAGACTTAGCACCTTCATTGTACTTCCTCTACACCTGAATCATCTGTCACTATGAAGCCTGAGCTGTAGGTGAGAAAGCTATACTCTTAGATAACTCCTCTGTGATTGCTCCAGGACTATAGCTTGCTTCCATCTATGGGGTGGCTTTGCTACTAGAGAAAGTAAGTATTCAATACTAAATATGACACTGAAGCCTTGAGGACATTCTAGAGCAGTGGCAGGCATTGTGGTTCAGGAATAGGCTGTAGAACAAGTCAAATGCATTCCCTCTTAGGCATTACTTTTTTTTTTTTAAGCATAAGAATTATATTTTTTGGCTTGAAATGGTGTTTTCTTCTATATTTGACTTCTCGGTTTTCTTACTAGATATTACTGTCTCCTCCAATGTTTCTTCAAAACTTTCCTCTATCTGGGAGGTTTTCTTAGAGACTACCTTAGAAGCCCCTTCTTCTTCCTCCTCTTCCTCCTTCTTAACTGAAAGCCCAGTGGATGAGACTTTGGAGGTTGTAGAACTGAGGATTCTAGGAGGGAGGAGATAACTTGGATTGGGAAGTGGATTCAGCCCTGAGATGCTTAATCCACTGGTGCTAAATCGTGTCTCTTCGCCTTCCAGCAGTTTCCTGTAAATGTAACAGAAAAAAATTCCTCAGGAAATCAGGTTACTAATTTTGTTTAAAGAACTTAACCCTCCAGTTCCTTTTCATTTTAGAGAAGCTCCTAAGAACACTGCAATTTCTTCATGAGACTGAGGTCAGTAATACTGCATTGAGCTGTATACTAGTATGCTTGTGTATACACACACACACACACACACACACACACACACACACACCCACCCTTCAGTATCACTGGTGCTTAAAGTATCATCTCAAAGGAAACCTATCCTATTCAAATTTGTTCCTGCAGGCAAACATACAATCTTCCATGGCCATAGTACACACCCATTTTGGCAATTAGAGAGAAGTAATTTTCCCAATTAACACCTTAACTGTAAAGGGATAAGGAAGTGAGACATCCTCAGAAGAGAAGAACTGCCTAATCCAGCACACATTTGAGATCTGTGCCTTTTAAATGTACAAAGGTATAAAGGGGACAGAAGAAGCAGTAACAAAAGCTACTAAATGACACAGCTTCAGATATTAGATTTTGCTCAGCCTAGACTAAACAGTACCAGATTAGATTGGTTCCTGTATCTTGTTTCTTTTTCTTCTCTTTTCTTTTTCTTCTTTGAGACAGGGTCTTACTGTGTAGACCTGGCTGGCCTCCAACTCACTGAGATCTACCTGCTTCTGTCTCCCAAGTGCTGAGATTAAAGACATGGGCCACTATGACTGGCTTTTAACCCTATTTTTAATTTTAAAGATTAATATTTTATTTATCATTAAATTAATAATAAACATTTTATTTATTATTTTTATCTTATGAGTGTGTATTGCCTGCATGTATGTAGGTGCACTCATGTTGTACAATGCCCATGGAGGTCAGAAGAGGGCATCAGATCCCCTGAAACTGGAGTTACCAACAGTTGTTAGCTGCCATGTGGGTTCTGGGAATGCAACCTGGGTCCTCTGCAAGAGCAGCTGGTACTCTTAACCACTAAGACATCTCTCTAGCCTTGTAACCCATATTTTAAAATTTACTCTGATGGACTTTAATTTTGACCCCTAGGAGCCTGCAATGTCCCTTTAAACAACAGAAAAAGGTATGTAGAATACTCTTGCACTAGTAAGGTAAAGCTGGAATATATTCAAGTAGAGGAATGAAGGGTCAACTCATCTGGACTAGACCAAGGATGCTCTTCCCATCCTCCCTCAATGATCAGGAACAAACCACACGGAACCACACACTGTATCCAAATGAGCATGCACTTTGCTTGAGTGAACATGCCCTCTCATGTACCTGTAAGCTGCTATCTCAATGTCAAGGGCCATTTTCACATTGAGTAAGTCCTGGTATTCCCGAAGGTGGCGTGCCATCTCACTTTTGGTGTTCCTCAAGTCATTCTCCAGCTGCCCAATGCTATCCTGGAAAGTGCAGATCCAAAATATTTAGGCCAAAGTAGCAGAAACATTTCCACAACGCAGGAATTCTCAACGCTGACTACACATTAAAACCATGTAAAGATAAAACACACGAAGGTGGCGTGCCATCTCACTTTTGGTGTTCCTCAAGTCATTCTCCAGCTGCCCAATGCTATCCTGGAAAGTGCAGATCCAAAATATTTAGGCCAAAGTAGCAGAAACATTTCCACAACGCAGGAATTCTCAACGCTGACTACACATTAAAACCATGTAAAGATAAAACACACGAAGGTGGCGTGCCATCTCACTTTTGGTGTTCCTCAAGTCATTCTCCAGCTGCCCAATGCTATCCTGGAAAGTGCAGATCCAAAATATTTAGGCCAAAGTAGCAGAAACATTTCCACAACGCAGGAATTCTCAACGCTGACTACACATTAAAACCATGTAAAGATAAAACACACGAAGGTGGCGTGCCATCTCACTTTTGGTGTTCCTCAAGTCATTCTCCAGCTGCCCAATGCTATCCTGGAAAGTGCAGATCCAAAATATTTAGGCCAAAGTAGCAGAAACATTTCCACAACGCAGGAATTCTCAACGCTGACTACACATTAAAACCATGTAAAGATAAAACACACGAAGGTGGCGTGCCATCTCACTTTTGGTGTTCCTCAAGTCATTCTCCAGCTGCCCAATGCTATCCTGGAAAGTGCAGATCCAAAATATTTAGGCCAAAGTAGCAGAAACATTTCCACAACGCAGGAATTCTCAACGCTGACTACACATTAAAACCATGTAAAGATAAAACACACGAAGGTGGCGTGCCATCTCACTTTTGGTGTTCCTCAAGTCATTCTCCAGCTGCCCAATGCTATCCTGGAAAGTGCAGATCCAAAATATTTAGGCCAAAGTAGCAGAAACATTTCCACAACGCAGGAATTCTCAACGCTGACTACACATTAAAACCATGTAAAGATAAAACACACGAAGGTGGCGTGCCATCTCACTTTTGGTGTTCCTCAAGTCATTCTCCAGCTGCCCAATGCTATCCTGGAAAGTGCAGATCCAAAATATTTAGGCCAAAGTAGCAGAAACATTTCCACAACGCAGGAATTCTCAACGCTGACTACACATTAAAACCATGTAAAGATAAAACACACGAAGGTGGCGTGCCATCTCACTTTTGGTGTTCCTCAAGTCATTCTCCAGCTGCCCAATGCTATCCTGGAAAGTGCAGATCCAAAATATTTAGGCCAAAGTAGCAGAAACATTTCCACAACGCAGGAATTCTCAACGCTGACTACACATTAAAACCATGTAAAGATAAAACACACGAAGGTGGCGTGCCATCTCACTTTTGGTGTTCCTCAAGTCATTCTCCAGCTGCCCAATGCTATCCTGGAAAGTGCAGATCCAAAATATTTAGGCCAAAGTAGCAGAAACATTTCCACAACGCAGGAATTCTCAACGCTGACTACACATTAAAACCATGTAAAGATAAAACACACGAAGGTGGCGTGCCATCTCACTTTTGGTGTTCCTCAAGTCATTCTCCAGCTGCCCAATGCTATCCTGGAAAGTGCAGATCCAACATATTTAGGCCAAAGTAGCAGAAACATTTCCACAACGCAGGAATTCTCAACGCTGACTACACATTAAAACCATGTAAAGATAAAACACACTCCTATCTGTTTGGGGGTAGGGTCTTGGCATCTACATTTTTATTTTTCATAAATATTCCCAGGAAATTCAGATGCATGCCGAGTGTTGGGAACTTTTATTAATGGACACAAGGTTTCATAGTTCCTTTTCTTTTCCTTCCTCTTTATTTCAGTTATTTTTATTTAGTTATTTATTTTTTTGTTTTTTGAGACAGGGTCTCCCTGTAGCCCCACCTGTCATGAAACTTTCTATGTAGACCAGGCTGGCTTCAATCTCATAGAGATTTGTCTGCATCTGCTTTCAGAGTGCTGGGATTAAAGGCGTACACCACCACATACAGCCCAGCCAATTTTTAAAATTTATTTATTTTTTTTGAGACAGAGGGTCTCACTATGTAGTATTGCCTGACCTGGAACTGGCTATGTAGACCAGGTTGGCCTCCAACTCAGAGAGGTCCATCTGTTTCTTGCCTCTCAAGTGCTGGGATTATAAAGGCATGTGCCACCACACCTGGCTTTTCTTCCTTTTTATATAAAAAATACTTTATTTTCAATTACGTAAATATGTGTATGTGTGTGGGGGGGGTCTGTTCCCATATGAGTGCAGGTACTCTCATAGTCCAGAAGAAGGCACTGGACCATTTGGAACTGGAGTTATAGACAGTTGTGAGCTGTCTGATGTGGGTGTTGGGAACCAAATCTGGGTTCTCTGCAAGAGTAGCAAGTGCTCTTTATCATCGAGCCATTTTTCTAGCCCATCTTTCCTTCCTTTTTTTCTTTTCTTTTCTTTTTTTTTTGGTCTTTTTGAGACAGGGTCTCCCTGTAGCCCCAGCTGTCCTGGACTCACTATGTAGACCAGACTGGCCTTGAACTCACAGAGATCCCCTTGCCTCTGCCTCCCAAGTGCTGGGACTAAAGGTATACACCACCACGCCCAGCTTTTGGCTTTTGTTTTATGAAACAGGGTCTTACTGTATAACCCACACTGGCCTTGAATTTGACAATCTTGCCTCAGTCTATGGGGTGTTGGGATTACAGGTAGATTATGCCCAGCTCCTCCCTTCCTTGGTTTGGTATTCAACTGCTGCCTAAGTCTCCTCAGTTCTGGGATTATAGGTGTGCCTCTACCTCCAACTGTGTAATGTTTCTTTTAAAATACTTATTTACCATCCCTTCCTTGCTTTTTAAAAATATTTATTTTGGGACTTGAGAGGATGGCTCAGGGGTTAAGATCACTGGCTGCTGTTGCAGAGGACCCAGGTTCAGTTCCCAGCACCCACATGGTGACTAACAACCTTCCGTAACTCCAGTTCCAGGGGATCCAATGCCCTCTTCTGGCCTCTGCAGGCACTGCATGACATGGGTGCCCTTAGGTCATCAGGCTTGGTGGCAGGTGCCTTTACCTGCTAAGCCATCCTGCCATTTTTGCGTGTTGTGTTGGTGCTGAATAACTCCATGTTCTAAGACCCATGCTGTCATGTTAGGTGCTTAGATTCTGCACATTCCAACTGTGGGAAGTGCAAAGACAGAAGCTTTCTCTGCTGCATTACATGCTTTCATTTCCTTTGAAAACCTTTGCATGACAGATAAGAAGAAAACACCACAGGAGTATTTTCTTTTTAATCCTAGTACTTGGAAAGTGGAGGCAGGGAGATTGGGAGTTCAAGGCTACTCTCAGCTATACAGCGAGTTTGAGGCCAGCCTGAGTTTCAGGACATGCTGTCTCAAAATTTTTTTGAATTAAACAAGTTGTCATTGAGCAGCAAGAAACCTTTAAAAACAAAACATTCTGTTGTTTTCTTAAAATTTTCCAACAGCTTTGGAATACAAACCAAAATCTTCAGTACATCCTGTTTTAAAAAACCAAACCAAATGAACAAAACAAAACAAAAACCCAACAAAAACAAACAGTACTTCTTTCCTTATGATCTGATGAAGGTTATGTGCAAATAGCCCATATGATTCAGTTCAACTTTGTAGCTATGACTAGCACAGTGACTGGGAGTTATTTTGGTGAAACATAGATACAAGTGAACAAATCAGAAACCTCAGAAAGCAAGTCCCGAAGGGTCCCTGATTCCTTTTGGGTGGGGATGATGAAGCAATGAGGGAAGGCAGGGCTCCCACACAAGAGAATTTGTAGAAAGAATTAAAATTCCTATTACCCACCTGCTCTATGACTATTAAAACGAATAATGCAAACGAAGAGTCTCAATTGACTGATGGGTGACAGAGCAAAGAACGGTAAGCATGACAGGCAATGAGGATACAAATAGTCTTGGACAATGACGCCAGTATTTCAGTGTTAAGAGATGATGAACAGGGTGTGATGATGCATGCGGTTAATCTTAGAGGCAGGTGGGTTCTCTCTGAGTGCAAGCCTGGTCTACATAGCAAGTTCCAGGCCAGCTAATGACTCTACACTTTTGATGGTATGAACAAATTAATCATGATCCATCTATAACTCCTTAGGTCAATAAATGAATATATTATATATCTTTAATATAAAATTTAATGCTGGATAGTTGTTTGCATAGTCTTCAAAGCATCATATTTCTTTTAAATGACAATTTTGAATTTTTAACATTTAATTAATTAATTAATTAGTTAATTAATTTATGTGTGCGTATGTGTATATGTATGTGTGTGGACATTAACACACCACAGGGCATATGTGGAGGCCAAAGGAGAACTTGCAAGTCAGTTCTGTTCTTTTACCTTGTGGGTTCTGAGGACTGAACTCAGGTTGTCAGACTTGGCAGTAACAAGTACCTTTGCTTGCTGAGCCATCTTGCTGGCTAATACCACTCATAATTAAGACATTAAACACAATAAAAACTTTGACAGCAATTAAGAGTCATTAAAATGTTATTTTCTATATTTCCATGATGTCAGTTATCTTTGAGATATATTGGGCTTCCAGGTGTGGTGGCAAGCCCCTTTGATTCCTCAGGAGGCAGAGGCAGGCGGATCTCTGAGTTCAAGGCCAGTGGGGTTACAGAAAAACCCTGTTTCAAAAAAAAAAAAAAAGATATATTGGGCTGTGAGCTGTTTGTCTCTGCCCTAAGTGGCTCCAGAGAGAACAGTGTTTGCATTCATCTTGCAGTTTTTTGGTTTTCTTTGTCCTGAAAAGTTACGGGGTGGGCTGCTAGACATTCTTGAAAATGCCTGACTCCAGTGGTTGCCCAGGCCCAGCTTTATCCCGCTGCAAGTCTGAAACCTAAACAAGGAAGAGGTTTTTTTTTTGCCTTTTTGAGACAGAGTCTCCCTGCAGCCCCAGCTGGCCTGGAACTCACTATGGAGACCAGACTGGCCTCAAACCCACAGAGATCCGCCTGCCTCTGC